TAGGCACAAAACACCTTTGAATCTCTAACACCATGGAAAGAACCGTGTTAACACTATGTATTTTGGCGCTATGACTGTCTTCCTTAATAATAACAATAATAATAATAATAATAATAATAATAATAATAATAATAATAATAATAATAATAATAATAATAATAACGGAAGAATGATTTTATATATTTTGAAATAGTGAGACCGATGTTATCCTTACGTTAAATAACAAAAAAGGCACAATACCGTGACTGGAACGATACACAAATAACCCGCACATAAAAGAGAAGCTTACGACGACGTTTCGGTCCGACTTGGACCATTGACAAAGTGTGACTTTGTCAATGGTCCAAGTCGGACCGAAACGTCGTCGTAAGCTTCTCTCTTTTATGTGCGGGTTATTTGTGTATTATCCTTACGTTCTAGGACGGATAACTAGAGTGTATAAATCAGTGCAGCACTTGGAACCTGTAGTTCCAAGTGCTGCACTGGTACTTTCTTCCACTGGTACTTTCTTCCACTGGTACTTTGTGCAAGAAAGGTATAAAATACCGACAAATATGAAAGTTAAGACACATGCTGTGAATACTAACTCCAAGGCCGAGGGACTGATTACCTCATCTTTTGTATATAGTTCTACTGTCTTCCTATTATGTCCTAGAATCTGTATTGATAAAGCCACTGGATGGCGAAACGTCTACAATAAAGATATCCAGATGTTGCACATGTGTCTTAACCTTCACACTGGTACTTTCTTCCACTGGTACTTTCTTGTGACATTTACCCCTTCCTCTTAACCCATCCCCGTGCTCTATCTCTTTTATCTGGCACCCCTGTCTTTATTATCTCCACTATAATATTGTATTGACCCAGAGCTATATTCTGTCCGCACTTCTCTGTTCTATAACATTGCATATCTCTCTACAACCCTGCACGTCTCTCTATAACCCTGCACGTCTCTCTGTAACCCTGCACGTCTCTCTATAACCCTGCACGTCTCTCTACAACCCTGCACGTCTCTCTATAACCCTGCACGTCTCTCTATAACCCTGCACGTCTCTCTATAACCCTGCACGTCTCTCTATAACCCTGCACGTCTCTCTATAACCCTGCACGTCTCTCTATAACCCTGCACGTCTCTCTGTAACCCTGCACGTCTCTCTATAACCCTGCACGTCTCTCTATAACCCTGCACGTCTCTCTATAACCCTGCACGTCTCTATATAACCCTGCATGTCTCTCTATAACCCTGCACGTCTCTCTGTAACCCTGCACGTCTCTCTATTATCCTGCACGTCTCTCTATAACCCTGCACGTCTCTCTATAACCCTGCACGTCTCTCTATAACCCTGCACGTCTCTCTATAATCCTGCACGTCTCTATAACCCTGCACGTCTCTCTATGACCATACACGCCTCTTTATGTGGCCCTGCACGTCTCTTCTCGACTATAACACCTCCCACAAAGAACCACAAATCACAATAAGGTGGCTGGAACAATTCACATATAACCCTCACTTAGGAAAGGAAATTTATGACGACGTTTCGGTCCTTGCTGGAGCACTGTCAAGTCACAGCTCAGCGAGGAAAAAGGAGAGAAGGTTCTCCCGTGTCTCTGTCCCACAATAACCTGAGTTCTGGGTTGGTCGAAAGGTAAAAATGCCTGCAAATAGAATATTTTTCTACTTTACTGCAAGACTTTATCGGACATCGTTTCGCTCAAAGGGGAGCTTTATCAAACCTTGTTTGATAAAGCTTCTCTTTTCGTGTATGTGTGTCTGCCTTATTACACTGTCCGTGCTCTCCTTGGTAAACTAAACGCAATAATATTTAAACGTCATGGATAATCGAGTCAGTCTCTCTCTCTCTCTCTCTCTCTCTCTCTCTCTCTCTCTCTCTCTCTCTCTCTCTCTCTCTCTCTCTCTCTCTCTCTCTCTCTCTCTCTCTCTCTTTATCTAGCCATCTTCCAGCTGCATTCTTTGCTGGCCTTTCAGCATCCACTCCCAATTAGCTACAAGACTGGTCAAAGAAAATGAGGAGAATGAAGCATTCTAGCATGTCCTTCAGGACATGCTGCTCATTAAAGATACTTCGGCTTGACAGAAGCTCCTGGAGAGGGAAACGTTGCCACAATAAAATGTCGCGATAGTTACACTTGTGTCCTTTTACTTAACATATTGTCAGCAATCTTACCAACATTAATACAGACGCTGTCTTGTTTCCTGGTGCATAAACTACGACCAGACTCTCTGGGAGTTCACACTCTCTAAGAGCTGGGTTTTATTTACCGTGCTGAACAGAACACATTATTTCCCCTTCCCCGGAGTCAGTCTTCATCCCTGTACTTAAGATCACGGTTTAACTCCCTAGGGTTGTCGCTTGAATCTGTTACTGACTCGGCTTACTCCCCTGAGTCAGCACGAGACTAAGCACTGGATCAAGGAAAGTCAGCTCCTCATTAACCTGTTGACGATATAGGCCTTGGGCCTATACCGTGGGAGGTATACAACGAGGCTGGTTTTAGAATTAAGGGGCGTGAGAGATTTTTTCTCCTCCCGGAGCCTAGCCATAAGCCAGTCTAGGAACAAGGTTCTGTAAAGTCAAGAAAAAAGTACGTTTAGATGTATATTATTTAAACGTTTTCTCTTGAATTTCCTTCCTTGTGTGACCCACTACACGTACTGCCCAGCCTTCTCCATCTCTTCTTACCCTTCTTACCGCCTTTCTATCTTTCCCTGCCATCCCTCCCTCCCTCCTTCCATCCCTCCCTGCCGTCATTCCTCTCGCCCACCTTGGCTCCTCCTGCCTTGAGATTATCTGCCGAGTAAGGACTCATTTTGACTCTGACCACGGCCAACAAAGAGAGTTCACCCGCCTGGAAGCAAGCCGAGCGGACGCGAGAATGGCGGATGACAAAACTAGGGTGTGCTGGGTCGTAAAGTTGACAGACAGACGTAGACAGGTCAATACAATCGCCGTGCAGCGCATCACGCCCGCACAAAGCCGTCCTCAGCCCACAAAGTCTCCACCTCATTGCTAGCACCGCTACTGGCCTAATTAACGTACCTGTCCGTTTTTCCTTTCAAGACAGCGAGAGTTCTTGGAGAGAGGGAGTAAATTGTGGTGGGAAGAAGTGAACTACTTGAGGGAACAGGAAGAACAGATGGAGGGAAGGGTGTGTGTTGGTAAATTGAGCAATGAAAGAAGAGAGATAGAGGAATTTGTGAGTGGCGAGATAGAAAGAGAGGTTGACGAGCGAGGTGAGAAGTGGAGAGAGGCAGAAGTTATGTAGTAAGATAAGGAAGGGATGCTGTGGAGGAAGTGAGACATGGAGGGATGGAGTGAGAAGTGGAGTGAGATGAGGGTGAATGGAGAGACTCTGGTAACTAACATTCCATCAGTGACGTCTTGCTCGGCCATCTTGCGGTAATCTCACAGTGAAAAATGACGTGCGTCTATTGTGTGGTTAAATTACACTTTGCGGTCCACGGGGTAGAGATGCGGGCGTGGGCAGACTGGCGGGGCACAGGTAGCTGCTCAGGTGCGTGTGGGCGTGGGGGGAGGGGCGGGGGCATCGGTTGGGGGTCCCGCAAAGCACAATGGGTCCTCCCCAGGGGGGCTGCGACCCCGCTGCTGGGGGTCCACCCTGACACACACCACTACAATACTCTCAAATGATGCCCACTTCTGCCTGACGCCTGTATGGTCACCTGCTGGGGCTGGAGGGCTGCGGATATGAGCCCAGTGGTGGGCATGTGTAAGGATGGGAATGATGCGGACGTGGGTGGTTTCGACGGAGTTAATCTTGACGTAAGGTGTGGGCGGAGTAGGGAGTGTGGGGGTGGGCAAGTGTGGCGCCCCACGACTGCTAACCTGACACTGATGGAGGAGGCCTTGACCTCGCACGCCCACGCCGCATACACACGCGCCCACGGCTACACACACACAAACACACACACACACACACACACACACACACACACACACACACACACACACACACACACACACACACACAAACACACACGTCTGAAACGATTACTGGTCTTTTCTTCCTCATGAACACATAAGATAACAGATAAATTTTACAAACTTCTATTTACATTTAGAAAATACAGCTGTTGTTTTACTATGTGTTTCGTAATAGTTGTAAGTTCTGTAATATTTATTTCCAGCCTAGGAGGCCTAGTCTGAGAGAATGGATCAAAGTAGAATGACATGGAGAGCGTTTAAATCTGTAGGGGAAGGAAGGCGGGGTAGGGGTCGTCCTCGAAAAGGTTGGAAGGAAGGGGTAAGGGAGGTTTTGTGGGCGAGGGGCTTGGACTTCCAGCAGGCGTGCATGAGCGTGTTCGATAGGAGTGAATGGAGACGAATGGTATTTGGGACCTGACGATCTGTTGGAGTGTGAGCAGGGTAATATTTAGTGAAGGGATTCAGGGAAACCGGTTATTTTCATATAGTCGGACTTGAGTCCTGGAAATGGGAAGTACAATGCCTGCACTGTAAAGGAGGGGTTCGGGATATTGACAGTTTGGAGGGATATGTTGTGTATCTTTATACATACATGCTTCTAAACTTAGTGTTCTGAGCACCTCTGCAGAAACAGTGATTATGTGTGAGTGTGGTGAAAGTGTTGAATGATGAAAGTATTTTCTTTTTTGGGGATTTTCTTTCTTTTTGGGTCATCCTGCCTCGGTGGGAGACGGCCGACTTGTTATATATATATATATATATATATATATATATATATATATATATATATATATATATATATATATATATATATATATCTTCTCGTAGGTTACATGATGTGTCTGGATAATGTGGATATTTGCCCGAAATGTTGTGCATAACAAGGGTCTTTCTATATAGTAGTATGTCATTGATGTCAGCTAGGCCTTGATACCTTGTACATGTAGAAATAAAGATACTATATTAATTATATTATAATTTTAAGTGTAGCTATAAGTAAAGTATTAAGAGTCAACATTTATTGTCTCCCTGTAGGTAGCCAGGCCGCTCTCCATGAAGAAGGAAGGCATCCAGACTCGCAACCGCAAGTTGAGCCAGAAGTCCAAGAAGAAGAAAGGGATGCTGGGTTTCCCAGACATGCTGAAGCCTCTGGACAAGGGCGGCTTCGGTGGTTTCGGCACTGGAGGTTTCGGCACTGGAGGCTCTGGGTTCGGCTCCATGTCACACTACATGTACGGCGGCCAGATGCACGGCTCTTCCATGGCTGGCGGCTTCATGTCAGCGCCGCCTGTGCATGGCATGTCTTCTATGTCTGGAGGCCTGGGAAGTCTTGGCCTCTCCTCCGCAGCCGCCTTTTCCTCGTCCTCCGCCGCCGCCGCCGCCTCCGCCGCATCCCTGAGCTTCAGTTCGAGCTTTTGTACAGTAGCAGCGTAAGAACACGCCCCAGATCACGCCCAAGATGGGTAAAATTTGGGCATTACGCCCGCATAGTGTACAAAGGAGTGCCTGCAGCTGCTGGTAATGTAAGTATCCAGCATCAGCAGCAGCAGTAGAAGGTGCAAAGTTGTAGCAGCAGCATCGAAGAAGATGCAGCTGCTGCACAAGCAGAGGCTGGAACAGCAGCAGCAGCAGCAGCTGTGGTGGCCAGCGAGCAGAGAGTGTACAGTGTATATAGTGTACCATAGACAACATAGAGACTATTTAATGCATCACCATTTTCTTGTCCTAATGTTAAGCTGAGCATCATATTGCATATTGTAATATTGATTATTGTGATTATGTGATATAAATAAAGAGAACCTTTTGGGATTGTCGGTTTTAATGACCTGCCAGATTTCGGTGATTGGAAGGCTGCAGCCGTCACACTCTCACCACCTCGAGATGGTCTCTTCTCTTTTATTAGAGGTCATAAGTTCGACCCTTTAGAGATTCATGTTAATTTTCTTTTCATCAAGCGAATAACCTCTGCAGCCAATCCTCGTCTAGCAACTCTCAAGGTAGCCTTCAGGAATATCAACAAAAGATTCAATCTGGGAACCCTATGCAACATATGTTAGACCAGTTTTCGAGTATGCAACACCAGCATGGAATCAACACCTGAAAAAAAAGTGTTAAGAAACTGAAGGAACTGGGAGGTATACAACGAGACTAGTACCGGAACTAAGGGGCATGAGCTATTAGGAGGGACTAATGAAATTAAATCTAAGGACACTGGAGGAGAGAATAACCAAAGAAAGAATAACACCATTCAAAGTGCTCTGAGGAATAGGCTGTTTGAGAGGCAGGAAACAGGCATTGAGGGGCAGCTGGATGTATAAGACACAGATGAGCCACAAGGATGTCAGGAAGTATTTCTTCAGTTTCAGAGTGGTCAGGAAATTAAGAAAGGCTTACTACATAGTTTTAAGAAGAGTACGATAGGGTCCATTAGGCTAGATGGTAGTGTGAATCTAGCAAGTTGAGAATAAGACATGTTCAACACCTGGATATATCTATTGATGTAACGTTTCGCCTACACAGCAGGCTTCTCCAGTCTATTGCTAAGGCCGGTCTTACACTGCTGTGTACGCCTATCCTTAATACAAATTTGTCTCTCAGGGACGGATTTAAGGGGAAGCAACATGAGGAATAAGCCCAGGAGTCCCGTACAAAATAGGGACACTCTTTTTGATTATAATAATAATAAAAATAGGGACATTATTCTGTACTGCAAGGAAAAACAATAACTGATGGTGGATAATTAAAAACATAATATAAATCCCCTGACATTTGACTGAAGCAAATAATTACTCAAATTACTTGATTCTCTGATGCTTATAGACGATGGCAGGAAATATCATGGTATCACATGGACCACCAGGGTAAGACAACAATAATGTTTCGGTAACTGTAGATATAAATCTTAACCCTGTCGGGCCTGTTGTATAGTCCTTTTGTGTATCCAAATACTTTCGTTCTGTCGTCCACAAGATAGATTTGGCACACCAGCTAGCCGCTTCGGAGGCAAAATCTAATCAACTGGCACCACCTGGTTTTTTTTTCTTTCGAAACTTGCTGTACTAGGCAGCAGTGGCTGCTTGTAAACAATTTTCGCTGCTGTCTAACTACAAACAACAGGAACAGTGAGTACTTAATTCTTTAGTACAACGCATGGCATTTGGTTCTACGATAGGCTATTGCTACATACTTAGTAGTAGCAACAATGGAAGTAATATAATAATGATAATAGGAATAATAATTTTGGGGGTTGGGATCTCCATTTATTGTTTCCCAGAGGTTGGATCTGTTATCTACGACTCGACGTTAGTCTCATACCATCTACTGGTAGACAGTACCACTAAACCATCACCACTACCACACTATTACCACCACACTTTCACCACACAGTTACCATACAATCACCACTACCACGCTATCACCACCAACCCCACCACAACCACCATTTGCACCATTCCATCACCACACTGTCACTGCCATCACCACTACACCATCAGCACCACACCCACAGTGCTACAGCAGCAACACAAACAGGAACAATACTTGCCTTTCATGGTGTGGGAAGTCATGTATAGTGCCCTCACACCCGCTCCATCACACCTCGCCACTCCCTCCCAAACTCCTCCTCCTCATCCGTCTAATTCTCTTCCACTTCCATCTCTTAGGGTTTTCTTGTTCCTCGTCCCACCCTCCTTCTCCTCGTGTGCAATCTGTGTTGACCCTTCACACAAGTGTGTTGAAGGAACCATCAGCAATGATTGATTGTTATTACGTTTTATTGTTGATGCGATGTACCCCGTCTTTTTGTACTTTCTCCATATATATATATATATATATATATATATATATATATATATATATATATATATATATATTAAATATATATAATTGCAAACAACCACTCTGAAAGAATAGAGAAATTCCAAGCGCTTTTCGTGACTACTCACATTATCATAGTTCCTTGATAATGTGAGTAGTCACGAAAGCGCATGGAATTTCTCATTCTTTCAGAGTGGTTGTTTTGCATATTCTGAAATCACCTGTTTTACTGTGATCTTATTGCATATATATTATATATATAAATATATATATATATATATATATATATATATATATATATATATATATATATATATATATATATATATATATATATATATATATATAAGGATATCCTACAATAGACAAAAAAGAGGATGAATGGTAGTTTATTTGCTTCGATCTCTAGTTCAGGTCCTTTTCAGCATTCTACTGAAGAGGACCTCGGCTGGAGGTCGAAATATACAGTGCCATTCTTCTTGGTTTTGGTTTTCTGTTGGATTTCCTGATCAACCTGATCAGCCTGATCAACCAGGCTGTTACTGCTGGCCGCACGCAGTTCAACGTACGAGCCACAGCCCGGCTGATCCGGCACTAACTTAAGGTATCTGTCCAGCTCTCTCTTGAAGGCAGCCAGGGGTTTATTGGTAATTCCCCTAATGCTTGATGGGAGGCTATTGAACAGTCTTGGGCCCCGGACACTTATGGTGTTTTCTCTTAGTGTACCAATGGCGCCCCTACTTTTAATTGGGGGTATTTTGCATCGCCTGCCCAGTCTTTTACTTTCGTAGGGAGTAATTTCTGTGTGCAGATTCGGGACCATTCCTTCCAGGATTTTCCAAGTGTAGATTATGATATATCTCTCCCTCCTGCGTTCCAACGAGTACAAGTCACAAACAACTACGCAACAACCACAGATGGCAGCCAGGCAGCCATAACCAGCAACCTGCACAGTCACAAACAACTACGCAACAACCGCGGGCAATAGAAGTACAATAAATTTCATAGACGCAACACCACCACAAACCATAACGAATGCAGCCACCGCAGACACTACAACTACTAGAACCACAAACACCAAAAACACCACAACAACAGCAGCCACCAGACAAACAAACAACCATCACACCAACTATGACTCCCACAGCAATCACAACTAAACACCAAAGCCAGACCACCTCTGACGAATTCCACGAAGCCACCAGCCTCTGACGCGTGACAGTGACTCCAACTAAGACATCTGAACACAGTCCTAAATAAGAAGCTGTACTCCACAACAACACTACTAAGATGTACTCATCTATATATGGGCGCAGGGGTCGAGTCTAAGTTCCTGGTGTATGTGTGCTTCTATACCTCCCACGTATTTCTGAACAAAATAATGGGGTTTGAAGAGGATCTGTGTGCCTCTTCCACACATGAAGTAGTAATTATGGCTTTGAAGGTAAGAGAGCAGGTCTGTGCCGAGGCCAGTCAACCAACACACTGAGAACAATGCTCTCGTGTGACATAGGACTGCCAGTAGACCCGTCAACACCACCTGACTAGAAAGAAATTTATTTTGGATGCTGGTAAGAATATTACCATCCTGGGACACTACTAGGTCGTGATTTCTTATCTTCCATTTTTTAATGAGGGTGTAGCTGAGATGAGCCAGTGGACACTTAACCAGATATCGGTCATGGCCTGACTAACCCCCGTGTTCTTAGAAGTTACTTATCCCGTTTCTAGACGAGTAGTCAGAGCAATGAGGATATTGTCAAGCTTTCCATTCAAAGATCATCAACTACGAGAGGGTCAAAGGTTTCTTCTAGAAGAGCTGGAGTTGTTCAGAGGTTCACTAAGACGCGACACTTGATACCTATTAGTTCTGTCAACAACATCAGAAATGTCACAGTACTGTGACTCTGGTTTAGAAAGTCGAGCACTGCGGCAGCTCCATCTTCAACAGGTAAGGATATACAACCATTTAGGAGGAACATACGAAGGCTTGCATCCCTCGGTATACTTTGAAACACTCAGTAAGTATACTCTGCAACTCTCAGTATTCTTTGAAACACTGAATGAGTATGCTTTGAAACACCCAGTCAGTATTCACTGAAAATTACAAGATAAGTTATTATTCTTGAAATTATTGCAATTAGTGAAATAGCCTGACATCATTAAACCTGTGAATAATCAGCTGTAGTAGTTGATTTGTTTGTTAGATTTAAAGCCTGTCGACCACATGACAGTCATTAAGGTTAACTGTCACGTGTATACCTCCAGTCAAGGGTACTCAAATCCATGAAGTAAGAGTTAAACTCTAAGTGTATATATATTGTGATTTTTTTTTTTTTTATTCGCCGGTATTCTCCCGGCCCGGGTCTTTTCCAAGTAGTGGTGACCCGGCCTTGGCTCCCTATCTAGGGAGTGTCGAGACTTAAGTCTCCCATGGGAGGAGGCACAAGTACCTCCTCATCTTTGGGACCAAGTGTCCCCAGGCCTAGCCACATTTCCCGCCCTCACGGGGCTCGTAGGGAGAAGCTAGGCCTCTGGTCTGCCATCTACCCCGCCTCGAAGGGGCTCGTGGGGATGGCAGTCTTATTATTGTGATATACATCCATCCGTTTGGATATACAAATGTATGAAAGAAAGATATGCTCCTCAGAATATATGTAAGTTTAACATATTTATTTATTTATTTTTTATTCACATACTTTAAGAGCAATCATTAATATTTTTATTGAGTGTTAATGAGGCTTCGGTTAATTAATCTCCTTGGTTTATCTTGAAGCATGTTTAAATTCGTATTTTGGTTTATGCAATACAGAAAACGTTTTATATAGCTATTGAAGCGTAGAATATGATATACATTTTAAGGTCGGATTGTTATTAATGACTAAGTTTAAAAAAAAAAGATCTGTCCCAACATTAAATTTCTTAAAATAAAAAAAAAAAATATTGGGAATTTCTCATCTGCACAAAGATCACTTGTGATTATCTCTCATAAC